AACTGGTTAAATTAAATAAAATGAGCTGGTGGGACAAGCATAAGATAAGACCTAGCATTCATAATTAATAATAAGTCTCCATGTCATGATTTGGGAGCTGGTTGGTGGCCCAAAAGAAAGCCTGGTACAATCTTTGGACTATCAGAGATCCAAGAGAGAACGAGGACACTGATGACGGATGTGCAGGCCTGAGAGAGGAAAGCAGCTCCTGGCTATGTGTTGGGGCTGCCATAGAGTGGGTATCCTTCCTTAGCATAGCCTTGTGTTTAAAACATTGAACAACGTGAGGCCTCACAGTTTCTAGCCATGGTACCTAAAGAGAGACAACAGTGAGGCCAGCTTGATGAAGCTGTGCTTTTGGAGTAGCTCACTGTCTTGCCACTTTCTCTTTTTGCTTTGTTTAGTTTTTGCTTTTTGAGAATCTCACTGTTAGGCACAGGCTGGCCCTAAATTCCCCATTTTGCTGACTTTCAAGTGCCGGGATTACAGTCTTTACTACTCATGGCTTTGGTCCCTTCTACTTTTTTTCACCCTTAAAAGGCAGATTTGCCTTTGTGCTTGGTATCTAAAATACTTCGGGGGAACCCTGAAAGTCATTCAAATTTGTATTCACCTATAAGGAATCAGAAAGTTTGTGAAATGATCCAAGAAAAGTGCCACTGATAATAAAATGGACACCCTGTGAAATGGGAGACTATGGATGTGTGCTTCCTACCATTTCCCAGTACTCAGAACAGAGTTGCTAGTATCTGGTAGGAGCACTGAATCAATGTCACTTGCCAACCAGGATGGCAAGTAAAATTTAGCTTTTTTTTTTCTTTTGGTTTTTCAAGACAGGATTTTTCTGTGTAACAGCATTGGCTGTCGTGGAACTCACTCCATAAGACCAGGCTGGCCTCAAACTCACAGAAATCCAAATTCCTTGGCCTCCTGACTGCTGGGAGCTTTTTTTTTTTTTTTTTTTTTTTTTTTTTTTTTTTAAAAGGTTTTTTTTTTTTTTTTTTTTTTTTCTTTTTTATGAAAAGGTTGTTTTGATGCTTTCCTTTATTAAGACATGAATGGTCTTTTTACTCATTAGCTCCACAAAGAGCTGTTGATGCCTGCAAGAAGTCTTAGTTAGACCTGGCTGGTATTTGTAAGTTTTTCTTGCAGGAGGGGGTTAGTGTCACGGTTTCATGCCCAGATGATGGTAGGTCAAGGACAAGTGGCAGAGGCAACCTGAAAATAAGCTCCCTCAGTGGCCTTAGCAGGTGTAGCTCCAGGAGGATCACTTGTTACTATTGTCACTACCAGTCCCTGAATTGCTGCTGCAGTGGGGGATTTGGTAAGAAAGAGGCAGGGTTAAAATCCCTTCAACCTTTCCGTTGCCTGCCTTGTTGGCCTCCCTGTGGGTACCCCTCTTGGCAAATGCTTGCTATTTGTGGATGGAAAATTTGCCAATGAGGTGGTTGTTAACCACTGTGAAATCTAGAAAGAGACTGTTTGGGGAAAGATTATTTATTTTAAACTAAATCCTATTAGTGCTTTCCTTCGCTTTAAAAAATCACCACCCCCTCCATTTTTATTTGTTTTTTCTGATTTTTACATAGTATTTGTTCTTCTCCTGCAACTTCTGTAGGGCAAAAACTGTGGCTTGTTTGGTAGTTTTTCATAGTGTATATAATGTAAGGGCCTATTGGCTATTGATATAAAGCTTTGTACACAAGGGCAGTAAAATAAAACAGACTAGCATTCACCTAAGATCTTGCCCTGTTATCCCTGCTCATAAGACATCTATTTCATAGGATCCAGGAAATAGGTTGAAGGTTCTGGGTGTGAGAGGAGACATGGTAGACAAAATTCTGTTCTTACCAACGACTGCAAACAAAGTCTTGATTGCACCTTCAATCATCTCAATACGTTGCTGCTGCTGGCTCAGTCTGTTCTTCTTCAAGCCCTTTTGATGAAAGTACTTCAGTGGATACTTCACTGACCACCATAGTCCAAATATCAGAAAGAAACTCCCTGGGAGAGCATGGCCCTTGAAGTTTGCCATCAGTGTTTTAGGATACCTGAAAGATGGATAAAACTATTAGGTAACGGAGTGATGAAGATATAAATACATATAGACACACAAAGCCCTGTGTGTGATGGGGGAGCAGGTATGTGTATAAGTAGGTATATGTGTAGAGGCTAGAGGGCAACCTCAGGTATTGCTTCTTAGGAGTACCAACCACCTCACTCTAAGACAGGGCCTCTCATTGGCCTGGAACCCACTATGCTAGCCAGGCCAGCCAATGAGCTCTGTAGATCTGCCTGTGTACCTGCACTGTGATCACAGGGATACACCAATATGCCCAGCTGTTTTACACAAATGAAAAGTCTTTCCACTCTGTATGTAGTTTGAGCCCATCATGATGGTACATTGCATGTCTATAATCCTAGCACTTGAGAAGTGGAAGCCAGAGGATTAGGAGTTCAAGATTATCCTCACCTTCCTAGTGAATGAAAGGCCAGCCTTGGTATGTGAGATCCTGCCTCAAAAAAAAAAAAAAATCCCCTTCATATTTTGGCAAGAAGCAAAATTGATTTCAAATTATGAGCCACACCAACAAGGATCAACTCTTTATGTGAAAATCTTTTAAATCACCATAATATTACTGTATGTCAGGTAACTTGGGGATGGAGAGAAAACCACTGGCCCAGAGGCTGTGTTTGAAAAATGGTGTGGGATGGCGGCTGGGTGTTGGTAGCACACGCCTTTAATCCCAGCACTCGGGAGGCAGAGGCAGGTGGATCTCTGTTCGAGGTCAGCCTGGTCTCCAAAGTGCCACGATAGGCTCCAAAGCTACACAGAGAAACCCTGTCTCCAAAAAAACAAAACAAAATAAAACGTGTGGGAGAAATGGAGGACAGGTAAGTATTGAGTTTAGTGTAAAAATACCTTTATAGACATAGATGTGAAGGAGACAATTAGAGAAAAGGAAGTTTACTCCATAAGCATTTTTAATGTCAAAAAGATGGAAAGGGAGCAGGTGAGATGGCTCAGCAAGTTAGGGTACATGGACTGAGCCCATGACCAGTGCCCAATCCTGGTGGAAGAAAACCCACTCCTACGAGTTGCCCTGTCACCTCCAAATGCACACACCATGGCACACATCCATGAAAAACACCCAAGTGTAATTTAAAAACAACAACAAAAAAATGTAAGAGCTGGAAAGGTAACAAATCAGGAAACTGGCATCTATACAATGAATGCCAGTTACATTATAAAGCCCTTACACATTTTCTAACTTATTTTTTAAGTTTAATGTAATTTATTTTGTGTGTGTATGAGTGTTTTGCTTGCGTGCATGTTTAAGAGAAAATCTGATTCTCTGGAACTGGAGTCATGTGAGCTGCCATGTGGGTGTTGGAAATCAAACCTTGGAAGAGCAATCAGCACTCTTAATTGTTGAGCCATTTCTCCAGCCCCTTAACAAATTAGTAAGGAAGACCAACAAAAGATATAATTTACAACATATACAAGCTGGTGGTTAACCCAGAGATGTGCAAGTGCAAGCACAATGCCACGTCTGCACAACTGGGAAGATTTGTTATTAAAACTCAGACACGGTGTACTTTTATTCCATTTATCAAAATGACGAATGTTAGCTTAGATTTATTCTCAAGTGTTATTTTTTTCCTAGGAACTTGGTGGTGAGTGAAAGAACAGGGAGGGTGGGAGAAAGAGTCTTGACACAAGCATGCAGACTCACTATTCATGTTCATGATACAAAATGAACAAACAATTCTTGACGGCTTAAATTCTGCTCTAATCTTTTCTCTCCATATTACCATTGTCTCTGTGACTGTCAGGGGCTGACAGGGACATTCCTCTACCTGGTCTTTTAACCAGGACAAAGGAAATTTCTCCATGTCTCATACAGACCCTTCTTGAATTTCTTTGTTTCCTCACCTTTAATGAAGTAGATTGTTTAGCCATTGCTGGCGCTGTCATTTTGTTCTTAAGATGGGAGCTGCCAGGTGGTGGTGGTGGTGGCAGACACCTTTTAATCCCTGCACTCAGGAGGCAGAGGCAGGTGGATGTCTGAGTTCAAGACCAGTCTGGTCTACAGAGTGAGTTCTAGGACAGCCAGAGCTCCACAGAGGAACCCTGTCTGGGGGTGGGGGTGGGGGTGGAGCTAAGACACACACCTGACTCATGCCCTGGACTATATACTGCCAGGCATGGTGACTGGAGTGGTGGGGTGGGGGCTGATGACTCAGGCATGGGGCCTCTTCCCATCTGGTTTCTTGTTGCTGGACTTCTTGGTTTGTTTTTAAATTGATTTTCTGATTTCTTCCTTCCTTCCTTCCTTCTTTTCTTTCTTTCTCTCTCTCTCTCTCTCTTTTTTTTGTTTTGTTTTGTTTTTCGAGACAGGGTTTCTCTGTAGCTTTGGAGCCTATCCTGGCACTGCTCTGGAGACCAGGCTGGCCTCGAACTCACAGAGATCCGCCTGCCTCTGCCTCCTGAGTGCTGGGATTAAAGGCGTGCGCCACCAATGCCCAGCGATTTTCTGATTTCTTTATCAGTCTATTCTACTGTAGCTTACCATGCTTCCTTAAAGCAGTTATTTGGAATTATGTTCTGGTAATTGATAACTCTCCATTTCTCTGGAATGACTTTTGTGTGTTATGTTTCTTCGTCATCTTAAGTTTTCTCTTGCTTCCCTACATTTGAAGAAGCAGTCACCCATTCTAGGCTTCATCGACTGTCTTTGGGAAATGTTTGCCTTCACCAGGCAGTCTAGCTTCCTCTCATTCATTCATTCATTCATTCATTCCTATTCTCTCTCCCATATCTCCCTATCTACTCTCCTCCTTTTCTGTGCATGATGTATTTACATGGGTATACAAAGGCCAGAGGTCCTGCTCTCTCTCTGTCTCTACTTCCCTCCCTCCATCCCTTCCTCCCTTCTTCTCTCTCTCCTCTCTCTTCCCTCTCCTTTCTCTCAGTAGGGCTGGGGCATCTTGCAAAATAGGTAGATCATCTTAGGGGCAACCTTTACCAGCTCAAAAATTCATCTCACATTAGCAGTGAGGACTCAGACTTAGGCGTTACCCCACACTGGTATCTTCCCTACTCATAAGTTTAAGGTACCCTTTTCTGGCTTTTTGAGACACAGTCTGTCTTCGAACCTGGAATTCACAACTTGGGTTAGGCTGGCTGGCCAGCAAGCACCCAGGATCTACCTGTTTCAATCTCCAGTGCTAGGGTTGCAGACAGATGTCCCATGCTGGATTTTATGTGGTTGCTGCAGCTCATACTCAAGGTGCGCATGTCTGCATGGCAAGCACTTAGCAACTGAGCCATACCCCTAGCTCCTGGATGATTTCTTTCTACCCTGAAAAGTCAGGCAAGGCACTAGGGGCTCCCTTTGTTTTTTTTTTTGTTCCCTGATGTGCTAACATTTGTGTATCTTCATCTAATCTTGTAGAGTGATTCTGAACCTATACCAAAGCACAACAAAAAATTTTTAAATTAATTAAAACATGAGGGTTTTAAATTTTTTCTCTCATACAATATATCCCAACCCACAGCTTCCCTCCACTCCTCCCAGCTCCCCCTCCCCTACCCTCCCCCAGATCTATCAACCCATCTCCTCCCCAAAAAGATCAGGCCTCCCAGGGACATCAACCAAACATGGCATAGTATACAATAAGACCAAGCACAAACCCTCCCATCAAGGATGGGCAAGGGAGTCCAGTAGGAGGAAAGGGGCCCCAAGAGTATGCAAAAGAGTCAGAGACAACCCCCACTCCCACTGTTAGTAGTACCACAAAACACCAAGTCAACAACCATAAATATATGCAGAGGACCTAGCATAAACCTATGCAGACTCCAAGATTGCCTCTTTGGTCTCTGTGAGTGAGTACCTATGAGCCCTGCAGTTGATTTCACAGGCATGCTCTCCCAGTGTTCTCAACCCCTCTGTTTCCCACAACTCCTGCCTCTTCCAAGTGCTCTACCACTGAACTAAATCTTCCAACACCTTCCCCCTTTAGAAAAAAATATTATTCCATTGTCTTTTGTGGGAAGTGGAGGAAGCCCTGAGTGAATGCATATTGTTTATATGAGCAAGGCCTTGTCAAGGACCCTAGTGCCTTGGATGCATGGGAATGGCCTTCCCCTGCTCTGTGTGTGGATGCTGACTACAGAAAATGTGGTTCACAGCTTTCTCCTCCCAGATGTTTACAACCTTATATTGTTCCCCTACAGAGACCTAGTTAAACCCACTTCCTTGTTCAGCTGTGTACAATAACCCTACTCCTCTTCCATTCAGATGTGTAAAACAAATGAGCTGAGTCTTCTGGCTACTCTTGGTACAATTCCATCAGAGCACATGGCCCACAAGGTCCAAGCTTTTCTGTGTAGGTGTCATTTCTTCATTTCCCATCGCCCCGGTTAGATCAGTCTCTAAGGCTGTGCAAGGCCATGGCACTTTTGGTGTTACTGGTGTTACTTTCTGATTTAAAAAAGCCAATCATAAATCATAGTTCCTCTAAATGAGTCCTGCTGCTTCTCAAAATTTCCTTGTTGACAGTATCTTTCAGCCATGCCACTGACGACGACATATTTGTGTGAGAAGATCTCTGTATATTTTGGGTTTGTTTTGAAGTGGGGTCTTGTGTAGGACAAGCTGGTCTTGAACTTAACATCTGTTCTCTGTATGCTGGTGTCACCACAGATGCTCATCACTATGCCTGGTTCTTGGTGTTTCTCTCTTTAAAAGTTCATGTTAGTTGAGCTTCTTGGGTCTATAATGTAAAGTTCTTCATAAAATTTGGAAGGTATTTCAGTTAATATTTCTTTCTTCATTCTTCCCCCTTTCTACTTTTGGAGCTCATGATATATATGGGGGGAAATTTAATATTTTCTGATATTGCTGGCTCTGTTATTTGTTCCATTCTTTTTTACCCCATCCTTAAATTAGATTGCTTTTTATTAATTTTCCAGTTACTTGATTCTTTGTTCCCTTCTTTCCCATCTACCCCATTTTCCCCTTTCCGTCATTTTTCCCTCTCCTCCATCTTTTTTTCCATTCCCTCCCATCACAACCCCGCAACTTTGAGACAGGTCTCACTTTATAGCCCAGGCTTCTTTTGAATTTATCATCCTCCTGCCTCAGCTTACAAAAGGATCACAGTTGTGCATTACCATAATGCCATGCTCTAATGAGTTCTTAACTTTGGTAATTGTACTTTTCTTTTTTTTTTTTTAATTGTACTTTTCAATGTTAGAATTTCCACTCTTTTTATAGTTTGCATTTCTCTATTTAGGTGTCCTATTTATTGAGTCATTTTCATTATATTGTCTTTTAATCCTTTAAACAGTTTCAACTCTCTGAACATATTTAAAATAGCAGCATTGAAGTCTTTATTAAATATAGCATTCAAGCCCTTTAGTATTTCTTCAAACTTCCTTCGTCTTTGATCTTTGGAGTAGTTCACAATTTACTGTTTCTATGTCCATTTTAATTGTAACAACTCTTGACTGTAACTCTAGTGATTTGCCTGAATTATGGAATCTGTCTCCTGCATGATGTATAGATTCCATCTTAATGTTTACCTATAATTCTTGTTCTTTAATTTATTAGCCTGATTTCATAAAGGTTACATCTTTATTTTCTAAAAAGATATATTTATTAATTCGTTTTATGTATATGAGTGTTTGCATGTTTGCCTGCATGGCAGAAGGGAGCATCAGAGAGAGGGCACCAGATCTCATTATAGGTGGTTGTGAGCCACCATGGGGTTTCTAGGAATTGAACTTAGGATCTCTGGAAGAGAACCCAGTGCTCTTAATCACTGAGCCATCTCTCCAGCTCCATAATGAGGCTTCAAGAATCTTTTTGTTTGTTTGCTTTTTTTGAGACAGGGTTTCTCTATGTAGCCCTGGCTATCGTGAATACTTTCTATAAACCAGGCTGGCCTCGAACTCAAAGATTCACCTGCCTCTGCCTCCTAAGTGCTGAGATAAAGGCATGGGCTACCACTGCCCAGCTCATCTTTATTTTCATAGCAAATTTAGTCAGCCAATTATTTGGTGAGGTTTGCTTCATTACCTTAATTCTGCACTCATTTGTATATGGGTTGGAGAAAGCCAGCTTTCCTGTCTTCCTAGACCTTCACTTGTTGCTGGAATTTCTCATCTCCTCAGCATAGAGGATGTGTAGAGAGATTTTCTCAATCATTCTATGTAACTTTATTGCAAAATTCTCCTTGCTAAATTCCTTGTTACTCTGGTACTCACCATGAGTGGGATTGCAATGACGGGCTAGCAAAGCTGTTTTTTTGGTTTTTTTCTAATTTCTCATTCTTGAGTATTCATTCCATGTTTATTTCTCATGCTCTGTAAAGCCAAGAAATTTTCAGCCCCTCAACCATCACTTGGAATTTAGTCTTTGTGTGCCAGCATTTTCATGGTCAGCTGATCTTACTTAAAAGTCATCGACTGAGCAAGTGATAAGCGTCTATGGGCATAAATGTTCTTACCTGAAGACAGACACTTTTGAAGAGTAAATTCTCAATTTGTTGCTTGTAATTGGTTAGTTTCCAATTCTATGAAGTGTTGGTTTTGACAGATTTGTCTGGTTTTATATGTTATTGTTTTCCCCTCTGTTTTGTGGAAAGAAATTAGCTACCGTATCTTCATTCTGATACAACTGCAAAGCCGCCTTTCACTCTTTTGCTTAATGGTTAACTCAGATTCTTGTTAAGATCAAGCCTGTAATATTCCATTTTTATTGGCTTTAAAGGTGCAGGAAAACCAGCTTTGCTGAGGTTTGTAGGTGAACTGGCTTCTCCTTCTCCCTGACCTTCCTCATTTTTTTTTCCTGAATAGATTATGTGAACTCTGAGTCCTTATCTGCATCTGTGTACTTGGTACCAGTTTGCCAGGCACTGCCCTTGCGTTTCAATTGGTCTAAAGTTCACACTGGTCCAAGGCAGGCCTGCATGGAAGTCTGAGCACCTTGAACTGATTGGGGGTAGAGATGGAGTGGGGAAGACTTCTTCCATTCACAGGTTAATGGATTACCTCATTGGGTGAGCTACAAATGGGAGAGTTTATAGAGAGTCGATTTTAGTAAAGAAGAAACCAGGCAGTGACTAACCTAACTAGAAAGAAGTAGATTTCTAATAATTTGAATAATTGAATAGGTTAAGGCCTGAGTGATCTTTGGTCCAGCTGAGGTATCCTTCTACTATCCTGTTACCCTCTAAAATAAGGGGAAATGGCAGCTTCATTAAGCAAAATGACTCCTTTGATTAGTAAATTTTGCTTTTTTTCTCAATATTATATGTACACTATTTCAAATAAGTACCAAATAATAAAGCAAGTACTTCAGCTATGTACTTGATGATATATACAGGAAGAGTGGCTATTGCACAACAGAACTTTCCCAATAGAATAAAAGATCCACCAATAGGGAAACAAACACAAGAAGATGCTTTCACATAGGGACATCCCCAACTTTCTTATTTCAATATAGGTACCAGCCTTTTATAATCATGTACCATATGGCAGGATCAGGAAGAGATGCATATTTTCAAGGGTGGCAGCAGTGAGAACTTGCCCAATGGTTTAGGCAGCAGTTTCTTTCTGTTTCATTATCTAGGGAGTACATCACAGCTGGAGTGGTGGGGGGTGGCCTGATTTTCCTGTACTCCTTTTTACTCTTTTCCCAATTTATAATCCTGAACTTCATGGATGAAAAGGTAGAAGAAAGAGAGAAAAAGGATTCTCTGATGGGTTTTGGCTTTGCATTGGTCCAGTATTTCCTCACTGTGCCCCAGCTTCCCTGTTTTGGAGTGGTAATGTATATTATGTGCCATTGTATGTAATTTCCTTTTGGATTTTACATGGAATCACAGTTAAGAGATTACCTTGAGTCTCAGAAGAGACTTTGGACTTTCAGACAATGCTGAGACTGTGAAAGACTGGGGACTTTTGAAGTTGAGCTAAATGCATTGTGCATTATGATATGGCCGTAAGACTACCAAGGTCTAGGAGTGGAATGTGGAGGTTTGAATGAGAAATACCCTCCATCAGCTCTGATATTTGGGCACTTGGTCCCTATTTGTCCCTGGTTGGTAGTT